CAGTGACATGCGGAGCAGCGCCCATCTGCTGCTGTAGCCTTAGATGCGTTCACAGAGGGAGGGAAATGTAATTTGGGTAACTCCTTTCAGCTACATAACAAATTAACAAATATTTAATTCATTAGCTCTTGCTCTGGTGTGAGGACCTGTTACTGCGGAAAACGAAGCAAAGAGGCAGTAAAGCATACATTTTCGAAGGTGGCCATGGGCTATTGGTGCCTCTGCTGTCCTCTGCCCGTTGGACATGCAGACCCTGCTCTCAGACCTTCCCACAGACGCAGCACTGGTAAGTGACCACCTCTGATGAACACACCCAGCACCTTCGTCTCAAGTCCTGGTTTATGACTTTGACACAGGAGGCCCCAGCTCCAGCCTCCCTCGCACCTCTCCCAAGCCCGCTACACCTGTCCTCACACCGATGCCTTTGGGGCTGCAGCCCGAGGCTACATGCAATCCAGAGAAGCTGTGGGTATTGCCAGAAGGGGCGCACATATACTAGATTATGCCTGATGTCAGGCGTGGTGGGTTGACCCTGGCTGGATGCCAGGTGCCCACCAAAGCCACTCTATCACTCCCCTCCTCAGCTGGACAGGGGAGAGAAAATATAATGAAAGGCTTGTGGGTCAAGATAAGGGCATGGAGGTCACTCACCAATTCCCATCACGGGCAAAACGAATCCAACTTGGGGAAATTAGCTTAAATTTATTGCCAATCAAATCAGAGTAGGGTAATGAGAAATAAAAACAATTCTTAAAACACCTTCCCCCCACCCCTCCCTTCTTCCTGGGCTCAACTTCACTCCCGATTTCTCTACCTCCTCCCTGCCCCGAGTGGCGCAGGGGGACAGCGAATGGGTTGCGGTCAGTTCATCACATGTTGTCTCTGCCGCCCCTTCCTCCTCAGGGGGAGGACTCCTCACACTCTTCCCCTGCTCCAGTGTGGGGTCCCTCCCGCGGGAGACAGTCCTCCATGAACTTCTCCAACATGAGTCTTTCCCACGGGCTGCAGTTCTTCATGACCTGCTCCAGCATGGGTCCCTTCCACAGGGTGCAGTCCTTCAGGAACAGACTGGTCCAGCGTGGCTCCCCCACGGGGTCACAATCCCTGCCAGCAAACCTGCTCCAGCGTGGGCTCCTCTCCCCATGGGACCACAGCTCCTGCCAGGAGTCTGCTCCAGCACGGGCTTCCCACAGGGTCACAGCCTCCTTCGGGCATCCACCTGCTCCAGTGTGGGGTCCTCCGTGGGCTGCAGGTGGATATCTGCTCCACCATGGATGTCCATGGGCTGCAGGGGGACAGCCTGTCTCACCGTGGCCTTCACCAGGGGCTGCAGGGGAATCTCTGCTCTGGCGCCTGGAGCACCTCCTCCCCCTCCTTCTTCACTGGCCTTGGTGTCTGCAGGGCTGTTCCTCTCACATATTCTCACTCTGGCTGCTGCTGCACAGCAGCTTCCCCGCCCCGCTTCTTAAGTATGTTGTCCCGGAGGCGCTACCACTGTCGCTGATGGGCTCAGCCTTGGCCAGCAGCGGGGCCATCTCTATCGGACATGGGGGAAGCTTCTAGCAGCTTCTCACAGAAGCCACCCCTGTAGCGCCCCTGCTACCAAAACCTTGCCACACAAACCCAATACATCAGGCTGCCTCTTCGTTGGCTGACCTTGGCGGTGGCTTTGTAGCCCCAGTCAGCAGAGTGCAGCAGCTTGCAGCATGACACGGGGGACTGCGCAGCATGGGCTCTCTTGCTCAGCTCACGGTCACTAGTGAGGAGCTACCTCTAGGGAAGACAATGCTGCTCAGCAGCTAAGGCAGCGCCCGAGCTCCTGGCTGGGACACGTTAGGCAGCCTCACGTCAAGCACAGAGCTGTAAAGCCTCCCCAGGAAGACTGACACATGGAAACAGCAAGCGGATGAGTAAATTGTTATCTCTTCATTTCAAGCAGACATCAATTGTACATCAATAGCGTGCTTTGAAAAGAAAACCACAGGCTCCTCTGTCCTTCCTGGCAAAGAGCACGAGCAGCCCGTGCTGGAAGGGTCTCCACGCCTAAGGCACGCAGGGCACTGGCACAGCTAAGCACAAGCAGGGGCTGAGTCACTGGCCAGAAGTTGCCAGTTTCCACAGTTACTGAGTCTCGGTCACCTTTTGGCTTAGTTGGTTTCCACCTCGGCAGTATTTGTGACAATAAGTGTGGAAGAGGCTTTCCTTTTCGCAGGGCTTATGCTTAATCATAACGGGTGTTAAATAAATGAATGTGCTGAAAGCAGACGCCAGACCGTGCCCGCCAGGCCATTAACAGCTCAGGAGGAAAAGGCAGGTGAGGAACCTCGGCCCTGAGAGGCAGCGGGCATTGCCCTGGCGGAAAGCTCAGAGCAAAGAAAGGGCAGAGGGAGCAGGCAAAGGATCAAGGATCGCAGTGTGGCAACTGTGAAGGTGCTAGGGCTTAAACGGAAAAACCCATGCAAGCTGAAAAACACACACATTTACAACTTCTGTGTGCAAGAGGACATTGGATTTACTTCTGCCTGTTTAATGGTGGATTCCCAGCTCTGTCAAGTGAGAATGTTTTCTGTCATATTCCTGCAGCGATACGTCTTGTCACTATGTTTAAGCACAGAGGGTTACGTAGCTTCCATACGAATCTGGCACATGGGAGCAACACCAAGCTTTCAATTGCTTTATCTTTAAAGATAAGGATGATCGGAACCTGCTAAACTGATCTAAATCCAATGAATCCATGAGAGATCACATGGAGATACAGGAAGAGGAATCAATAAGGCATTAACAGATGCTAGAGTTGCCGCCTGTAAATCAATTTGGAAGTGTCCAGTGTACTGCAGTTTGTAAAATAAACCTTAGGCTGTAGTTGTGAACCGGACTAAGCTATGAAAGAATAAGCATGAAGATCCGGGAGCCAAGGACCTGCAGCAGGCTCTGAGTGGTACACAGCTGAAGGAATCAATCAGCTCCAGCCCCCAAGCAGAGGAACCAGTGAGGCAGACCTCTGACCTCTCCGGTTGCCATCAGCACCTGTACTGCTCCACAGCAGTGCTTTGGGACGAGCTGGAAGGGCAACAAAACTAGAACTCAGAGAGCAAACGATGGAAATTAAACTCTGGTCAGGGGTCTGGTGAAGGGAATTTTTGAAAAATCTGCCTATGCCATGAAGAATATTTCTATAAATTGATTCACGTGCGCTAGAGAAGTTCACCTCATGTCCCTGCAGATAACAAAGCTGATTCAGCTGAATCTGTGTTACAGATTTTGAGCGTGCCATCTTAGCTGAAGTCTAAGATAGCAGCGGTGACAAGAAAATTGAAATTCAAGTGTCTGTGTGCTTCATCTTTACAAAATCTCTCTCTAGTTCAGTAGCTTTTGCTGAGTGACGCCCGCGCTATCAGCCTGGATACCACATCTCCTTCCCTGGAGAACATGAGTTTGACACCTGGGCTCCGGGGGCAAGGGGGAAGAGGCGCTATCCCTGCAAAGGCAAGCTAGCGCAGCTGCTCTGAGGTGGGTATGGCCGATCTCACCACCGGGGCGCTGGGACCCCCCGCCTCCCTATTCGACGTCCCCCGTTTCTGCAGTCCAACGGGCGAGTGTTGCCGAAGCAGCCGTGGTTTAAGCCCCGCGAGGGATGCGGCAGTTTCTCCATGGCGTATCCCCTGGGGGAGCAATCCCCCGCTGCAGGACAGTTTGGGCTCTGCCAGGCGCTGGCTGCTTACTCCATGCCCTTTGCTAGGCTGGATGCTGAGAACTTGGTTGCAACTTTGCCAAATATGTTGGGGTGGAGCCCCGAAAAAAAATCTATCAATCACAGTTGCAGATCGAAAGCTGTGTTTTCTGCCTGCCAGGCCTGCATGGGCTGTCTGGGGCCATAAACCAGGCTGCTTCCCGTTTGGTTTTTGCGTAGTCCCAAGAAGTTTCTTTTCGTCCTTCAGCTTGCTTTCCCCTGCTCCCTGGCCCTTTCTCCATCCAGAAATGTGCATGCCAAACATGGTAAGACCTGAGAAAGCTGTTATAAAGCTTATTTTATTTATCTTTACCAGAAGCATGTTTAAAAGAATGAATAATTTGACCTTTCACATTTTTTTCCCTTCATTTCAAGGAGGAACTGTGAACACAATACAACTCTTAGTAATACTTTGTATCTAAGGAATAGAAGGAATGCTAAATACGAAAACGGTCTTCTCTTCCATGTTAGAGAGAAATTCATTTTATTCAAGGAGTCAATATACCTCTAAATAAATAAATGGCTGCAGAAAGCCCGCAAGGTTTTGTTATTGGTGAAGGAAAAAACAAATACAAGCTGTGGGTGAGGGATACTCCTCGCCGTGTGATCTGTGCGGGAAGGGTTTTGTTGCTGAGGATGAGCCTCCCGCTCCTGGCGGATACCCCTCAGAAAGGTTTGGACCGTACGAGCAGTGTGAGTTCAGCATGGTTTCAGCCCGGTGCTTGGCTCTGGGGGTACCGAGTGGCTTTGTTGGGTTGGCATCACTGAACTGGATTAAGGTTCCTGCCTCAGGGTGTGGTCCCAAGCCAGGTGGTCCCCGATGTGCCCAGAGCTGGATTATCCAGCAGTATAAATTCAGTCTGGAGGAGGACACAAGGTGGTAAGTTTAAGGAGTTCTCCAGGAGCGCTGTATGGTCTTTATATTGGCATAACGCATATGCTATTTCCCTGTTGGGCCTCCTGCTTACCCTGCAGTTTAGGATTGTTCAGCTGCATGGTGAGGATATTTAGGGCTGGTTCCTACAGAGACTTTCTCTGGAGATCAATATTGCCCAGAAAGAGCCTCTAGAAAAGGCTTTATCACACTACCAGCATACCCAGCATCGCCGCTCTGCAAAGGGATGGGCCATACTCAGGTACTCCCGTTCTGGGAAGCTGCAACCAGGCGGCAGTCCTGCCTGGGGAAACACAGCTGTGGAGCTTCCTCTCTCCTTCTCAGGAGGAACCACGGAGACCAAGATGTGTTAAACTTGATGGTACGTTATTAACCATGTTGTTTGATGACAAAGTCCCAACGCTGCTGGCTTGCAGCCAGCACGGTGCTAGGGTGCAGGAGAAGAGGGTATGCCGCAAACTGGAGAGGACCAGCTGGGAAGGATGATGTAACTGAAAGTCTGTGGCGATCCCACCCCTTCTTTGATGAGAAACCAATGTAAACGTGCCGTTGCCTGGAAGGAAAAGTGGTGCTGTGAACTTCTGTAAGCTGACTGATGGGAGCATCAGTTTGCTCCTGGAGAGGCTGCAGCCAGAATACATAGCGCACAGTGGCTGGCAGAAGGATCTTACTCCTGCTTCATGGTACCTTGCTGTACTAAAAGGCCTTGGTTCACCTGTTGCCTTTGATTTTCTTGTAAACCTCCTTCAGAGGCTTCATCTTAGCCCTGTGTTGTTCCAGGCCCCCCTGTGGTCTGCGCTAATGCATCCCTCAGGTTTCAAGACCCTGACGAGGGTTTCTGCTCCTCTCCAGAGCCCAAGGACTGTGGGTAGGTCTGTCCCTCTGGGGCCCAGACAGTGACCTAGACACTACCAGCCGAGCACTCGCTCTCCACGTGGCAGCCGCACTGTGATTCCTCAAGGCACGCCTCTGCTGCCCGGTGCGGGTGAGCTGTCACGTCACCTGGCACGACCAGCCTTCCTCGCACATGCTGCCTCCTAACTCGTGTGCTGTATCACAGGGCATCTCCCACAGCTCTAGAAAGGAAAACACGCATCCCAGTGGTTTGTTTCTCAGGCATTTCCCCAAACGCATACAGGCCAGGAAAAAAAGAAAAGAGACTATTTTTTTCATTGTTTCATGATCCCAGGAACTGGTATTTTTAGGGGAAAAGAAACCCCTAAGATCATTTTGACTCATTCAAAATGTTGTTGTTTAATAGAGCAAAGCATCTGTTCTGATCTTGATTTTTTAACTATCAATTTAATTTATAAGTTAAAAAAATCAAAATGTTGTTTAATCTTTGCTCTTAAAAAAAATCTGCTTGGATACTTTGTCAAACTTGACTTTCGTAATTTTGAAGAAACAGTATTTTCCAGTGGAGATGGTCAGAACAGTTTTGCCCAGCTGCTCTTATTACTCTTTTGATAAAATGTGCTAAGGTTAGCAAGCGTACTCTAGTACAGCACAGACGAAATTGCAAGGGCAGCTGGGAAGTCTTCAACTGTAAGTATTCCGCGTCACACGAAGTCAAAGATCCTCAGGCAATCATAGCTAGGACAGCAAATCTCTCAAAGGGCTAAAATCCCAGCCGAGTCTCAAATTCACTGTGCAGGAGAGAAAGGGCTGTAATCTGCTAACAAAAGCAGATGTACGAGAGTCATTCTGGCAGCTACATCTGTCAGGCTGCCTCCCCCCAGCCCCCCCACCTTGTTAAACCCACTCTTCCTTCCAGTCATGTGTGCTTTTCTTATAGATGACAAAAATAGGCAACAACAAACGTCAATCACGTGAAATACATTCCTTAGGATAGGCCTTCTTTCCTCATCCTGCGTTACAGTCTTACTGAGCCCTGTCGCTCCCTCAGCCTCTAGGGGAAGGCTCTCGTGATTTTGGCCAGGCGGCGATCAGGACTCTCGGGGGTACGCTGCCGCCACGCAGCTGCCTCCCACGCCGACCCCTGCACCGCACGTGCCCGGGAGCGGCGCCGGGGAGGAACAGGCATCCTGGCCCCGCGCCACGTAGCGCGCTCCTGGCCGACCCCCTCACGCGGGACATGGCGTGAGGCTGCCGGCGGGGCTGCCGTCCCGCGCCGCGCTCCTCGCCTGGCGAGAGGGAAACGGGCATCGGGGGCCCAGTGGCGCCGAGGAGCCGGAGGCTCCTCCTGCCCCGTCGCTAACGGGCAGGCGCTTTCAGGGGCTGGCTCCCGCTGCGAAGCGCCCAGGCAGGCACCAGCTCCCCTCAGAAAAGAAACCGGCCCTCGCTAAAGCTGGTGAGCAGGTCACGCCTGGGCCTAGGGAAGAAAAAGCAGGCCGCCCTCCGCGTCTGCTTTGCTCCTCCATGGCAAAAAGCCCCAAAAGGCGCGGCAAGGCACCAGTGCCCTCACGGAAAACCGCTGCTGCCAGACTCCTCTTCCCCAAAGGGCCCGCGAGGCGCGGGGCGCACCCCAGAGCGGGCCCGGGCCCACCCGCCGCTGCCCCGGGGGCGCGTTTCCTCAGGCTGCCGGCCCGGGCCCGGGCCCCCCGGCCGGGCCGCCCCCCCCCCCG